ACCAACGTTCGCAACAACGTTCGTCTTTACTGTGTTTTGGTGGCTCTGAATCTCACCGAGGACGGAGCGATGGACGCTGTAAATCAAACATCATCACGGTGGCTATGAGATGTTAACTACCTCGCCTGGTGTACAGGAGGTCGTGGGTTCGATCCCGACCCTGACGCCTGCTGCTGCTGTATATTTGAAGTTTGCGTGTCTCTCTCTCACTATGGTCGCGTGGATTTTTCTCCGATCCCTCCAAATTTAAAATCAACATCTGGTGCTTGGAGTATTTGGCTGCTATACATTTCCAAATGACAAGCCACTTCGTTTAGCTGTCATTCGTGACAGCCAGGCCGCTCCTGAGAATTAGCTACGTATATCAGTGGCTCTTTACCAACAATATATAAATAGTTGAGACAGCGAGTGCGAGATTGCTGTGGCGTCGAAGTAGAATCGTCAAGCGGCCACAGCCGCGTGCTGCCACGGGGCACAGCGCTCGCAGGCACGATGCTGCCCCAGCAATGCGGAGATGGAGCGATGGATTCGTCGCCTCGTGTGGATTCATTGTTCGTTTGCGGGACCGTGAGGGATTGTCGCTGGCTTTAGGAGGCCTTCATCCAGCAGTGGGTAGAACATGCCGTGCGACGATGACGATGCGTTGCTTCGCCCCTCACCGCCCCCCTCCCTCCTCTCTCCATGGTCACCTGGCCGTTGCCACGGTGACGAGCGCCAGGTGAGAGCGGCAGTGGGGGCGAGTGAATGGAAAGGACGCGGCATGGGGCTGAGTGCGAGGGGTAGAGGGAGAGAGGGGATCAGAGAGAGAGGGGGAGGGGGGAGGGGAGGGGGTGAGTGAGAGGGGTAGAGGGAGAGAGGGGATCAGAGAGAGATGGGGAGTGGGGAGGGGAGGGGGTGAGTGAGAGGGGTAGAGGGAGAGAGGGGATCAGAGAGAGATGGGGAGTGGGGAGGGAGGGGGGTGAGTGAGAGGGGTAGAGGGAAGAGAGGGGGATCAGAGAGAGATGGGGAGTGGGGGAGGGGAGGGGGGTGAGTGAGAGGGGTAGAGGGAGAGAGGGGATCAGAGAGAGATGGGGAAGTGGGGAGGGGAGGGGGTGAGTGAGAGGGGTTAGAGGGAGAGAGAGGGGATCAGAGAGAGAGGGGGAGGGGGGGAGGGGAGGGGGTGAGTGAGAGGGGTTAGAGGGAGAGAGGGATCAGAGAGAGAGGGGAGTGGGGAGGGGAGGGGGGTGAGTGAGAGGGGTAGAGGGAGAGAGGGGATCAGAGAGAGATGGGACGTGGGGAGGGGAGGGGGTGAGTGAGAGGGGTAGAGGGAGAGAGGGGATCAGAGAGGAGATGGGGAGTGGGGAGGGGAGGGGGTGAGTGAGAGGGGTAGAGGGAGAGAGGGGATCAGATGAGAGAGGGGGAGGGGGGGGAGGGGAGGGGGTGAGTGAGAGGGGTAGAGGGAGAGAGGGGATCAGAGAGAGAGGGGGGAGTGGGGAGGGGAGGGGGTGAGTGAGAGGGGTAGAGGGAGAGAGGGGATCAGAGAGAGATGGGGAGTGGGGAGGGGAGGGGGTGAGTGAGAGGGGTAGAGGGAGAGAGGGGATCAGAGAGAGAGGGGGAGGGGGGAGGGGAGGGGGTGAGTGAGAGGGGTAGAGGGAGAGAGGGGATCAGAGAGAGAGGGGGAGGGGGGAGGGGAGGGGTGAGTGAGAGGGGTAGAGGGAGAGAGGGGATCAGAGAGAGAGGGGGAGGGGGAGGGGGTGAGAGTAAGAGGTGAGTGAGAGGGGTAGAGGGAGAGAGGGGATCAGAGAGAGAGGGGGAGGGGGGAGGGGAGGGGGGTGAGAGTAAGAGGTGAGTGAGAGGGGTAGAGGGAGAGAGGGGATCAGAGAGAGAGGGGGAGGGGGGAGGGGAGGGGGTGAGAGTAAGAGGTGAGTGAGAGGGGTAGAGGGAGAGAGGGGATCAGAGAGAGAGGGGGAGGGGGGAGGGGAGGGGGTGAGAGTAAGAGGTGAGTGAGAGGGGTAGAGGGAGAGAGGGGATCAGAGAGAGAGGGGGAGGGGGGGAGGGGAGGGGGGTGAGGGTAAGAGGTGAGTGAGAGGGGTAGAGGGAGAGAGGGGATCAGAGAGAGAGGGGGAGGGGGGAGGGGAGGGGGTGAGAGTAAGAGGTGAGTGAGAGGGGTAGTAGAGGGAGAGAGGGGATCAGAGGGAGAGGGGGAGGGGGGAGGGGAGGGGGGTGAGGGTAAGAGGTGAGTGAGAGGGGTAGAGGGAGAGAGGGGATCAGAGAGAGAGGGGGAGGGGGGGAGGGGAGGGGGTGAGAGTAAGAGGTGAGTGAGAGGGGTAGAGGGAGAGAGGGGATCAGAGAGAGAGGGGGAGGGGGGGGAGGGGAGGGGGGTGAGGGTAAGAGGTGAGTGAGAGGGGTAGAGGGAGAGAGGGGATCAGAGAGAGAGGGGGAGGGGGAGGGGAGGGGGGTGAGGGTAAGAGGTGAGTGAGAGGGGTAGAGGGGAGAGAGGGGATCAGAGAGAGAGGGGGAGGGGGGAGGGGAGGGGGGTGAGGGTAAGAGGTGAGTGAGAGGGGTAGAGGGAGAGAGGGGATCAGAGGGAGAGGGGGAGGGGGAGGGAGGGGGGTGAGGGTAAGAGGTGAGTGAGAGGGGTAGAGGGAGAGAGGGGATCAGAGAGAGAGGGGGAGGGGGGAGGGGAGGGGGTGAGAGTAAGAGGTGAGTGAGAGGGGTAGAGGGAGAGAGGGGATCAGAGAGAGAGGGGGAGGGGGGAGGGGAGGGGGGTGAGGGTAAGAGGTGAGTGAGAGGGGTAGAGGGAGAGAGGGGATCAGAGAGAGAGGGGGAGGGGGGGAGGGGAGGGGGTGAGGGTAAGAGGTGAGTGAGAGGGGTAGAGGGAGAGAGGGGATCAGAGAGAGAGGGGGAGGGGGGAGGGGAGGGGGTGAGTGAGAGGGGTAGAGGGAGAGAGGGGATCAGAGAGAGAGGGGGAGGGGGGAGGGGAGGGGGTGAGTGAGAGGGGTAGAGGGAGAGAGGGGATCAGAGAGAGAGGGGGAGGGGGGAGGGGAGGGGGTGAGTGAGAGGGGTAGAGGGAGAGAGGGGATCAGAGAGAGAGGGGGGGGGGGAGGGGAGGGGGTGAGAGTAAGAGGTGAGTGAGAGGGGTAGAGGGAGAGAGGGGATCAGAGAGAGAGGGGGAGGGGGGAGGGGAGGGGGTGAGTGAGAGGGGTAGAGGGAGAGAGGGGATCAGAGAGAGAGGGGGAGGGGGGAGGGGAGGGGGTGAGTGAGAGGGGTAGAGGGAGAGAGGGGATCAGAGAGAGAGGGGGAGGGGGGAGGGGAGGGGGTGAGTGAGAGGGGTAGAGGGAGGAGAGGGGATCAGAGAGAGAGGGGGAGGGGGGAGGGGAGGGGGTGAGTGAGAGGGGTTAGAGGGAGAGAGGGGATCAGAG